CAGGCACCTCATGTGTGTTGGTAAGGGATGCTGGAGCTCATTTAACACACAGCAGCGAGCACTGAAGAACACACAAGCCCCACGGCCATGCTTGTGCCAGGTCTGTTGCACATTAGGAACTGTCATCTGAACCCCTACCGCTCCTTTTCCCCTCTTCTCCCTTCCCCTGATTTACTCACAACAGAACAGCTACAGAGTCCCCCCCATAACCCATCCCGGTCTCCTGTTTTCTCCCAGGTGTTCAAGACTTCCCTCTCCCCAGCAGCTGCAAAGAGCAGCGCAGACACGAGGATGGCATTTGCTGCGTGTGCCAAGCAATGCTCAAAGTGACAGGCACCTGACCTGGAGCTCTGCTGGTCTGCCATTCGCATGGCAGTGGCGTACCCATAGCACCCATGTGGGTGGGAATATTGGCCTGGACACGTAGCTGAGCCTAAGAAACTGAAAGGACCAAGCCTAAATTACTATGGCATCTCATGTGTTTTGCACAGCTTGCAGTGTCTGCTATTTACCCCAGCCTCTGTAAGGCTGGAGTTAGGAGCTCAGAGGGTAAAGGTGGAGGGCCAGGGAGCCTCAGCTGTTTCCTAAGCTTGGAAAGAGCAGGGACTCCAGAGTCCAACTCCATCACCCAAGCTGGAGCAGGGCTGGATGCAAGGAGAGAAAGAGAAACGTCAGCGGCTGCCAAAAACCACATGCCAGCCTGGAGCTCACCGTCCTGCCAGCCACAGCTGAAGCAAAGGCTCAGTGGGGTGGCAGAACCCAGCTGCAGCTCTCCACACACGCGTTGGTCCGGTTTTGGCAACGGGTCCTTCTGGAGACCTCGGTGTCTGGCTGCCTCTTCCAGCAGTGGCATTTGCTCCCTGCTGGGCTCACACCTCCCATGGCTCACGCCTTGCCTGTCCCACTGAGTCGTTTCAGCCCTGCCCACGCAGCGCTTGGGCCCCCCAGCCCCTCCCACGTCGCACCATCGGGCTGGAGGAGCCTGGCCCAAATTGGCGGGCAAGACCCCTGGCACAGAAGGGCGATGCTTGGAGGCCGAGCAACAGCAAGTTGATTTTCGGATGGGAGGCAGAGGGGAAACTTGACGGTGCCCTCTCGAGGACACCGGCTCCTGGCCGGGAGGGAGCTGATGCCTGGTGCTGGCGTCCTAGGGAGGACAGCTTGATCCCCGCCAGCTCCTACCGGTGCTGCGTGCCAGCAGCAGCCACTTGAAAGGCAAAACAATCAGGAGCCGAGGGAGCTACCCGAGAACAGATGAGAGGCGCTTCTGTTCGAGACGCTGTGGGGAAACAAATCCCCGCGCTCACCGGAGTGCACCGAGCGGGCTGTAACGAGCCTCCCGCCTATTACCGCCGCGGGAGCCGCATGGCAGCAGCAGGGCAGGGAGGAGAGAGGCCTCTGCTCCTGGGGGCGAGGAGAAAGGGGTGCTGACATTAATTGGCTAGCAGAAGGTGGCAGCTGGAAATGAACGGCCGCCGTCCCCCCCCCACCCACCTCTCGTGCCGAGGGCCCCTTCCATGCAGAGGCAGCAGCGGCATGACATTTATGTGCTGCACACTGAGATCCCAATTAGAGGTGGATGGCTCACATGCTGCACGCTTTAATTAATTGCCTTTTCCTGTTGGAAAACAGCTTCTCTGACAGATTGGGATGGAGCAGAGAGGGCAGCTGCTCCCCAGCCAGCAGCTCGAGCAGCAGGCAAAGGGGCCGGCTATGGGGCTTGGTTTCGGCACCCATAACACCGGGGGAGAGACAGTCGCGGTGCACCCAGCTGTGACCTGGTCCCTGCCCTCTCCTTCCCGCCCAGCACAGCTCCTGGCTGTCATGTAGAGCTGGGGTCCCAACACCACCCAGCTACAGGGTCACCCCACGGACACCCCACACCGGCCACATGTGGGTATGGTGTGGGACTTCCAGGGGGAGTCAAATGGAGGTGCTGGAGATGGAGCAACAGGCCAGCAAAGGAGAGAGGACAGAAAACACAGGACTCATAGGGACAAGCGGGTCTCACCACTTTGCTGCCAGGGCTTCAGCAACCCCCCGTGGGACCCCAGGTCTCCCCTCCAGGCAGTGCTCGCCAGCTGGTTTGGTCCCAGGCCCAGGGGTGCCGGAGGATTCCCTGTGCAGGTCAGCGCTGTGAAGGATTGGTACAAAAGCCCCCTTCCAGCACAGCAGCTCCAACCATTACCTCCTCCTGCTGCCCCAGGCTTCTGGCACCTTCTCTCTTCCTAGCTAACCTAAATAATCTTGCATCTTCAGCTGTTCCCTCCTCTTCCAGCTCATTAGGGCTTTTAGAAAACACTGGCTCCTACCGAACCCGACCAACCCACCATTAACCTCACCATGAATTGGCTGTTACTTTTGACTCCAATTCCCACCTCAAACAGCTTCCATCTCCAGGAGGACTGTACCCCTCACCCTTGAGGTGACTAAGTTTCTTTAATAGCCTCTTGTGAGGGGCTTTATCAAAAGCCTTTTGAAAGCTAAATAAAATTCTCTGCACCATATTTCTCCTTTCCCCAGGATTTTGTTAGCACACTTAAAGGCTCCTGACAGGCTACGGCTGAGAAAAGCTTTTGGTTTTTAAGATTGTTTCCTGCTCCTAAGCAGCAAAGCTCTAATTTTGCTCCTAAATTGGGCCAGCAAGCATGCACAGCTCTGGTTTGGTTTCCTCAGGCAGCTCGTGATGAATTTCCACATTGCTCCTGGCAGGGCGTTTGCCTCAGTGGTGCATTGTCACACTGCAGTGAGCAGGTAAGCTGCAAGGTTTGGGGAAGGAGCCCCGTGCTGCTGCTGCACTCATCCTGGATGCAGGCACTCCCACGGCCTCCTGTTCTGTGCAGGGGTCCATACCTCAGGTCATCGTGCAGATTCAGGGGTGCTGTTCGAGGGTACAGGTCAGCTCAGCCCCGCTCAAACCAACCAAGGAAGACTGCTAGGCCAGAACAGGGTAGTGCAAGGCAAAGGGAGAGTTTTGTTCCACAAGAAGCATGGAAGGCATAAGAAATAAATTACATTGGGGCAGGGGGAAGTGAGCCCATGGCATGTCTGCTCAATTTTCCCTCCTGTCCCCCCGCTTCCCATCCACCCACCTCCCTCTGCCAGGTCTCAGGCAGGGACAGAAACTGAGCTTGGCAGATTCTAGGTCTGAAACTCAAAAAAAAAAGTGTTGCTCTCTCTACATACAAGCCCACCACCACTGAGAGCACCTGCTTAGTTGCGTGGCCACAGCAGGTCATCTACAAAGCATGTCCAAGGCAGCATCTGAAGATTAAGCCCACCCACACCCACCCTGCCCACTGTTCCTGCATAAAGCCTGGATGGACATAGGAGTCAGGCTGCAGCTGCTACCAGCCTTTGGCCCAGAGCTACAAAGCGGGTTAGGAGAAACATCAAAGCTGCCTGCTCCGATCAGGCCTCCATCCTTACCTCATCTGGAAGAGTTTCCCCTACAAGCCTCAAATGAAAAGCTGCTTTGGAGCTTCAAAGATGTCCTGAGTCGACGTCAAAGACAGCAGCTGTGGTTTGCTCCTGCTCCCACTGAAGCTCATTGCCCACTCTGCCATTGTCTCCAACAGGGGCAGGTCTGGACTAAGGGGAAGTCCTCAGCAGAGCAGGCTTCAGGCCTCTGCACAGCAGCCAAGCCAGAGCGCCCAGCAATGGTGCATGCCAGGTCTTTGAGAATCTGCCAACACTAGAGTGAGACATCCCACAAGACCTTTCTCCAACCACGACAGAAATTTTTCCATAGGTAGTTTGGCTCTGGCTATGGAAATGGACATCTGTAAGTGTTCTGCAACACATCTACCAAGAATGGGCCTCCAGACTCTTCCAGGAATCATGCAGGGAGAGGGAAGAGGAGATGCCAGGCTGAGCTGAAGCAGAAGCAGGCTTTTTCCAGGCTCTGTTTTTCTTTGTTTTCAAGCAGAGCAGTAAACAGCTCTGCCTAGACCTGCACCGCCCTGTCTGCCCAAGTCTTCAGCAGAGACATAGCTCCTCCGGCTCCCAAGTGCCAGCACATCCTCAGGCCACCCCACACTGAGGCAATACAGGGATGCATGAAATCTTCCTCACCACACAAGGGAATCCCGTTTTTCAGGCTGCTCTCCTGTCAGATCAGGGATGTGGTTGGCTCAGGGCAGGTTTTAGAGCCTCATTAACACTCCGCAATGAGGCCTGGCAGCAGCTGATTTGATTTAAGGTTCATTTCCAGGCTGTGATTTAAGAGAAGATTTGCTTAATGTTCTCTAACAGACTCTTCTGACTGGGAGCTTGAGTGCTGCCTAATGACAGCCTTATTTATTGTAATGTCTTTGCAGCACAGAGTCTAGAGGAGCTGGGCAGGAGCACAGCAGCTGCCGGCAGGTGCTCAGACAGCAGGGGAAGCATCCCTCACCACAGAGTGGTAACACTGGGGCGTGCATTCTTTTATCCAGAATAGCCAGATACTGCACCCCTTTTCTGCTTTGAGAGGTTGGCAAGATAGACCACTCTCCTTGCCTAAGACAGCCAGTGCTGCATCTCTACATACCTTTTCAAGTGGGACAGGAGAAACGCTCCTCTCTCTCCCTGCTGCAGTACTTGAATGATGGGAAACGCAGAAGTGCCTGCTCATATCCAGACTGGTTAAAAGGTGATTTGCAATCAAGGCTCCCAAATGCTCCTCCCTGTTTCCCGGTTTTGGGCTTCCAACTCAAAGGCTGAGCCTGCTTTCCTCCTGGGAAGGGGTGATCATCATCTGACATTTTTAAGCTACCTTGAGCTTCTGAGCTGGATGTACCTATCCCAAGGCCGAACACAGAGGCAACCATCACACAAATGAAGACAGTAGGTCAAGAGAGGGTTTGTCATATTTTAATGACATTGATCTTTGGTGTTTCCTTCGTTAGCACTCACACTCTCCCTGTCCTTCCTCCACAAGCCTGCTAGGGATGGAGAGTTACAAACGAAAAGGAAAATCACATTTGAGACTAAAAACAAAATCTAGTTTCTCCACTAGAAACTACATGTACAAGGTCAAGATTTCACATGCAACACCTTACATCACAGACCCATACCTCACACCCTGGCCTGGAGCTGAAAGGCATTTCCTGCCCTCTGCCAAGGAGGTGCAGCTCAGTCCTGGCACCATGAAAGCACTGGGATGGCTCATTCATGTTAATATTGGCACAGCTTAGAACATCCTTGCGTGAACTGCATCCTGACTAGACAGCAGTAGCCCCTGTCCCTCTACCCATCTATAGAGCAGCTCTGCTTAGGTTCCTGCCAAGCACTAAACTAACTCTCTAAAAAGGAAAGATCCCCACCTGTGAGCAGATCCTGAGCCATGCAGGTTTTGGCAAAGCCCAGTTCTTCCCAGAAACGACAATGCAGGCAGGACGGGTCTCAGAACACCCTGATCTGAGGGGGGAGCAGTGATGTGCCAAGGAGCGTGACTGTGGCCTGGAAGACTCCTCCACTCCAGCAATGGAGCTGGAGCATCACACCCAGGTTTGCCCAGTAGGACTGCCTGTCTCCACAAGGATGCTGCAGGCCCCCTTCCCTTTCTTCACTCTACTGATCAGCCCCTGGGCATAAAAGGGCAGGAAAGAGGAAAGGAAAGAAGCTTTACAAAGGATGACACTGGCCGAATTGCAGGGTTAGGGCTCAGCTCAGGGGATCCCATGAGGCTTCAAAATCTGCATGACGTGCAGCTAGTATGGTTCATATTCCTGTTAATTCTTCAGCAGTGGGAATGTTGGAAGTTAAGTACGCTTTCTTCCCCATGGCTTCCCTTGCAGTCCTTATCCCTTCCCACTCACCCAGCACAGAGAAGCCCTCTTAACAACCAGCATCCTGTCAGAGCCACACGTCCTACTCTTCCAGCTCCTGGCCAGCTGTGAGGTACAGGTCTCTGCTGAGCAGTACAAGGGTAGCACCAACACACAACTCAATCTCTACCTGTTCCGCGACTCCCCACTGGTGCTGTCATTACTATAGAAGTTGGTACTGTCAGGAAGATGGTTATTATTAGTTAGGTCACTGTATTCAATTGGTCCCTCAGTGTCCATGGAGGACTGGGCCTGCTCTGGCAGGTCCAGATCACCAGCGCTTTGTCCTTCACTCCCGCTAGGGGCTGTCCGCGGGCTCAGGCCATGCTCCGACAGCTGCATAGACTCTGAAAGGATCCGTCCCTCCAGCTCAGCTGCCAGCTGCTGTGAGGTGGACTGCTGTGCTGATGTGCCCTCAACTCTGGTGGACTCTGCACCAGTCTGAGAGCTGCGGTGGATCCGGTGGCTCACAATGATGTTGTTGCCAAAGCCGCCCATGGACGCCATGGTGGTGCTCTGCTCCCGCTGGACCACAGCAGTCATGCCACCTTCTGCCATCAGCCTTTGGATCCTACTCAGGGCATCCTCCCCACTGGCCCCATATTCTGGACCTTCACCTGCAAAAGAAAGCAGAAGCAACTTTGGTGCACAAGGCAAACTACGACACAAAGAGAAAGAATGCTGGGTAGATGCATAGAATCATAGAACCATTTAGGTTGGAAAAGACCTTTAAGATCATCCAGTCCAACCATTAACCTAACATTACCAAGTCCACTACTAAACCAATTAAGGGTAGAGTAGCAATTTCACGTTTCCTGGCTTGGTGGCTGGGTTATTTATAATGAAAGTGAAAACTAGGAATCATTAAGATTGGAAAGGACCTCCAAGATCGTCAGTCCAATCATCAACCCAACACCACCATGCCCACTAAACCACGTCCCAGAGTGCCACGTCTACCTGTTTTTTGAACACTTCCAGGGATGGTGACTCCACCACCTCTCTTGGCAGCCTGTTCCAATGCTTGACTACCTTTTCCGTAAAGAAATTTTTCCTAATATCCAATCTAAATCTCCCCTGGTGCAGCTTGAGCCCATTTCCTCTCGTCCTATTGCTACCTACTTGGGAGAAGAGACCGACCCCCACCTCACTACAACCTCCTTTCAGGTAGCTGTAGAGAGTGATAAGGTCTCCCCTCAGCCTCCTCTTCTCCAGACTAAACAACCCCAGTTCCCTCAGCCGCTCCCCATTAGACTTGTGCTCCAGACCCTTCACCAGCTTCATTGCCCTGCAACTTGCACTGCAGTGCGCACGTGCTGAGACAGAAGATGGGTTTTGTTTCAGAGGGAGCCCAACATTTTATTTCCGTAACTTTCAGTGAAGTGCCAAACAAAGGCACTGAACTCTGTCAAGAAAATCTTGGCCACTCCCACAGGCATTCCTCACAGACTTCCATGTCCAAGCCTTGGAGAAGCAGCTCTTATCTAGCCATACAGGTGGAGAAAAAAGGGGAGTCAAAGAGGCAGTGTGTTTTCTCACAGCTGCAGAGACAGTCTGGCCAGTCCCACAGGGGCAGGAAGAAAAACCTCAGTTTGCTCTGCAGTAAACCAAACATTTCACCATGGTGTTAAAGAGTCCTGTGGCCTTTCCTATTTCACCTGTTTCAGAACACCCTAGGCAGATGACATGATGGCAATCTCCCCAGTATCAGGGAGGACACAGGCAGCTGGCCAAGAGCAGACAGCAGCTACGGTCTGCGCTTTCACATCACCTACGATCAAGGAAAGATCAAGTGTGTAGGCTCCTGCTCTCCTTGACTGGTATCTTTGGAGGAATGCCTGCTCTACCTCCGAGCCTTCCCTTCATAGTCAGGCTGTACTGAGCTCTGAGGGAACCATCGTCAAATGCCTTGGTTGCTGAAGATTACTTTTGAAGAACAAAATCTCACAGAAAAATAGTCCACATAGGAGATTAAATCCCTGAGGCAGGAAAGTCCAGCCCAGTTCTGTTTCCTAGCATCCTCCTTTTGCTACAGACTGTTTGGGGAAAACAATCTGTAATCATAAGCTGCTAGAATCATTCCACAGTGGGATCCTGACAATTCTTATTAAAGAGATAAATCTCACTCCCAGCTCCATGAAGCCATCGCAGTGCTGATTAGAGGAGAGGAGAAAGCCATGAGCTCTCCTGGCACCAAGGAAATGAACACAAATATCAACAAGGCTAGATGTAGGCAGGAGTTAAAACACAACAAAAAACAAAATGCCACACTGACTAGGAAGACAAAACCACTTGGGGCCGTGGGGTGGAGATCATGTATCCAACATGAGAGCTGAAGTATTCAGCACAGCCTACACCATACCACTGTAGAGGTTATTTTTTAAAAAAGCAAGATAGTTAAAGCTGTTAACATGTGCAGTCAAGTCAGTGACAACTTATTCCCTTTCTCATGGGCGCAGTGGTACTTGCATCAAACACCATCAGCTTCCTCCACCACAGGGTATGGCTAATTTCATCTTCAAGCAAGTCTGCTGACATACTGCCCTGCTGTAGAAATACTATGGACATTAAGGGCAAATTTAATTCTCACAAGCAGAGTTAAGTCCCTTTCTGCTAGGAATGTAGTAAGCCTGCTACATCCACTATACATATAGCAATTACATAGCTCCTTGGTTAGAGCATCAGTGAGACCACAGAGACACCAGTAACCACATGGGAACCTGGAGCAGAGCCTAGAGGAATAAGCAAGAATAACCCCTGGGCAGAGCCTGACCCACAACTCTAGCAGAGAAATCCTGTTCAGGATGCAGCTGATGCATGAACTAGGAACCTGGCTGACCAGCACGAAGACTGAGAACAGACAGAGGCAGCTATTAGACTGGAAACTTCAGCATGAAAAACACACATGCCAGGGGTTATTGAGGCATTAATCATGAGCAGAAGTAAGTGGAAGGTTTGAGAAGCATGGTTTTGGTTTCAGTCATTGCTTCGTTCTGAGGGCATAGTGGTAAGCACTTCGTTACCAACCATCTGGCCAGGCCAGAGAGGAAGCTTGAGAAAGCCAAGATATGCAACCTGGCTTAGAGACATGCCAGCCTGCCCTATCTACACAAGTCCTGAAACAGCAGGCGCTGTGCTCTTCACAGATCACTTACTATAAACTAGCCCAATACAGGAGCATTGGAACAGTGAATTAGCAAGGGTCCCCAGCCAATACTCCTCAGCATTACGAACATGTGCTTCACCAGAGGAGTCCATGCAGACAGCAGCTCTTCCCTGCCCCTTAATTACCATGTGCCATGGCTGAATTTCCAGTTGAGGCAGCTGCTTGCTCAGAAAACAGCAAGGGCTGATGCCACAGCAGAAATCTAAGTTACGAGCCTTCAGATTACAAGCACAGAGATACATTAGTGTTGGAAATTCCAGAAAGACAGCCTGTCAAGGGCCAGAAGCGAGCCTCACCCTTCAAGCATCCAACAAGGACCTCTGCTTTGGGGGTTGTCCTCCCCTTCCCCGCCCTCAGGTTTCGACAATGACTTTGGCTGACTGGTTCAGAGCAAAGCTTCCTGTGTGATTTGCCTTGAGCTGAGCTACAGCACAGATTCACATACAGCCCGCTTCTACTGCCTGGTGACTCCCACACACGTTCTTTCACCAGGCTGCCAATGCAGACTACGTTAGTACTCTGTGCAAGTGAAATAAGCTAACTTCCATTTGGTGGAGGTTCAGAGTGTGCACACAGGCACTTACCCAAAACAACAGCAATGCCATAAACCCCACATCTCAGACTGCCAGAAGTTTCAACTTGCTGCATTGGCCAAACCCCATTCCCTGCACCACCAGCTGAACAAAACCAGGACAGAGAGAAACCGCATACTTGTGGCACTTTTTTCGGACTCCAAAGGGTTTAGGCATATCCAGAGCATGAACCTGAGTTTGTGCAAGAGTAGGCCAAGTGACAGCAAATCTAATTCTCGATACAGAGAACGCAATTCCTCTTCTCATTTTATGCTCAAAACTACATTCTGATCTCCTTTGTAAAATCCTTTATCTTAAGCTCTCATTCTTTTAAGCCTACCTTCTAGGGTCAGAAAAATAGAAAAACGTCACAGAGCGCTACAGACCAGCCACAGCTACAGTGTGTGAAGTACCAGTGTAAGCGTAACACTTGCCAATTCGTCCTCCACCTAGGCTGACCCTGTATCAGAATCCATCACACAGCAGGAAGCAATCTTGAGACACAGTCTCCATCTTTTTCTGGACAGGGACACAAGTTTTGTGCCTGACAGGACAGAAAAACATCACCCATGGTTCCCTTCTGCAATACAAGTATGTATTAGCGTTGTGTCCACAGTGCTGTGCTCCTACAAACCTTTTCCACTCTAACTGAAGTGACCCTTCCAGAGGTCCAAAACCCCATCTATCCCAAACACAGACACAAAACATTACTCTTGAGAGTAATTATCCCAAAGACCAGGTATTTCTGTCAAGCTAGCTGACTGTCTCCAACATTTCAAAAAATACTCCCTAGCTGATACATCTGTCTAGGAGTCCTCTGCCATGCTACTCCAGCAAGACAAGAGTTTGACACAGAAGACTACAATGATGAAACATCTGGCAAACCTTCAATGGAGCTGGGCATAAGGCAGGAGCATTTCCACTCTTAAATGAAGTAGTCTCTGAAGTACTTACGGGGAGTACAACTTATCCCTGGGCATGGATGGCACACGTCTGATAAAGAGCAAAGCCCACAGAAGCAAGGATATCAGGCTTTTCTGTGGCTTCGCCTGACATCACGCTGGATTTTTTTCCTATTTTCAGCTTTCCTCTTTCTAAAACCAGCAGTAGTTTGTAGCCATGCTTGCAAACAAAGCTTCAAAATTAGACCTAAGACTAAACACTGCAGAGATATCCAAGTCTTCAGAGAACATGGAATAATAGCTCCGAGGTGTGAGCTGACCCACTAATTCAGATGCTCAAAGATAAAAATATCAGCATTTTTAAATGAATTCACGCCTTGCATAAGAATAGGAAAGGGAGGGTTCACAGCACAGCATAACCAGCTATGAATAACCACATCTCCCTTAGTGCCAGAAGAAATACTACCAGTTGCTTTTCTCCCCAACCAAGCTCAGAAGCATGTTGACACTTCTTTTCTGAGGTAGCTAAATCCAAACTCCACAGAACTCAGATAAGACACAACTGCTTTGACTTGTAACAAATTTCTTAGCAATAGCTCACCTAGGTGATTTGTATGAGTGAAACTTATTTTTGTAATGAGAGTTTAAAAGTAGCCCCCATAATTTAATCCCAAGAGATCCAGGTACTTGGAGTAGCTCATGCTGTAAATGCTCGCATAGTACATACTTCTAGAACCTGATTCTACTTTTTAGGTAGTGCTTTTCAGAGGGCTTTAAAGAGAAACTGAAATTTGCAGTTCTGTAGGACATATGACACACATTTTACAGATGGACAGGCAGATGAAAGGCTAAGGGATCTACCCATATTTCTACTTGGAGAATGAGAGGCAGATCTGGAAGCTGATCCCTGGTGTCCTGGTTCCCATTTCCACACTAATTGCACAAAAGTCCCATCATCTGACAACAGCATTGCAAGACATGTTCAGCTAATGTAAAACAACATGGGTTTTTTGGCATTCATGAGGCTCAGCTGGGGACAGGGTATTCTTGCCCATGCAGCCCTCCGACACATATTCCTACTCTCTCAAATTAAATAAGTTACATCCCATGCAGGCACACTGACTCTGCTTATAAGTGCTCCTTAGGCATCCTCAGGATGCTTTGCTTATACCAGGAAAGTTTCACTTGCATGTGCTGTCTTTTCACTACTAACAGTTTGAACAGACTGAATGCCACAAACCCAAGCCTTCACTTTACAGCCCTTTTCCCTCTCGAAAGTATCTGCTGCAACCTCTGAAAGCAGTTGGGCATAATGGAAATTTGTACTGGCTGGTGAGAAACATTTCAACCAAATAGGTTAAAAACTGTATATGGCATGACAGTAGTCAATATGTTGCTCTCCCAAAGACAGGCAAAGTAGCAATCCACTGACAGTCTTCCGATAGCTACAATTTCAGTAGTTCATAACACGTGCCTACTTGCACAATAAGCATTGAGCTATCCATCTGAATTTTAAGCCCCAAAGACAATGCAGATGATAGGAATTGAGATGACAATTGCCTTTCAGTTATTTCCATCAAGGTTTTTTGAGCTTGGGTTATTTTTTTCTTTTTAAACAACTGGATTACCTCAAAGATGTATTGATATACTGTCAATAACCAGGGGACAACATGGGTGCACAATCAAACAAGTGTCCTGCAGCTCTGCAGAGGTCCTTTTCCCTCAGCCTGCAGCACCTTTTGCACAGTTGCAGTCCCTGACAGTTACTGCCACTCTCATCCTACTCCACAGATACAGCAGCCTGAACAAGTGGCAGCTGCAGCCTGACCCAGTCTGGACTGGGTATTACAATTTCTAAAGGTTAAAGCTTTGGGCCATTAAATCTCTTTAGGAATTTTTGTTGGTTTTTAAGTGAGATTTAATTTGCCAGTTGAATACAGATCCCTCCCCCATCATGCCTGCCCATTTGCAAGGGAAAGCATAGTATAACTCCCAACAGATTGTTTCTAATTAAGAGTGCCTCAAAGTTACAACTCCATCACTATTTCCACTATGTCTGTCAGCTTAAAAGAAAGTAGGAGACAGCTGAAGCACTGTTTTAGGCATTTCTTGGTACCTCTCCTAGTTTCCTCTCAACTCTAACTTCCTTTGGTTTATGTGTGGCTTGGGAGCAGAGTTCACAAGGCAGCTATCAACTGCTGCAAAACAAAAAGATACAGACATTAGAGGGATTCACTTCTAATAAAGTCATCAAATACTCATTCCTCCAAAGGAGGTAGAAAGATAATCAGAACAGCAAAGTCCCCGCAGAGCTTTGCATGAGAAAGGGAAACTATTTATACCCGCACAGAGCTTAATTAGATTTCTGATGCAATTCTGCATAATTTTTTTTTTTTTTTTACAGTAAGCACATATCTGCAAGAAATGCCCTGAGCCAGAATTCCCCACAACAGCAGGGCTGACATGACATAGGACAGAAACCCACTCTTGGGGGTAGCACCAGCCTTTTTCTGTTTTTTTTTTTTTTTTCCCTTTTTTTTTTTTTTTTTTTTTTTCCCTTTCTTTTTTTTTTTTTTTTTGAAACATTCAAGGGTTTTTGTTTTGTTTTGGATTTTTTTCTCTCACTACAAGGTGATAACTAAAACACTTTACATTACTCAGAATCACATCTGATTTATCCATTCTGCTGCTGATAATACTGCTAAGCCTTTACGTAGTGATTTACATCTTCAAAGCCCCATACAAAACACTAATTAATCTTCACAGTCCCTGGTATACTGTACTATGGGAAGATTTATTCCCTTTTGGTAGATGATTGATAATTTGCCCTAGGTCACACACCAAGTTAGCAGTAGCACATTTTTTCCTTTTTTTTTTTTTTCTTTCGAGTCCCTGACATCTACATCTTGCTATTAGGAAACACTGTTTCCCTTTCAACAGGCAAAGAGTTACAGTAGATATAGTGGGCAAATTAACCATCAGAAAAGCAGCACAGCATCCAGTCTGGCCTGCCCGAACACACTGGACGAGCATCACAAGAGTTTATGATGCTGGAAAAACAGTAACCTTAACGTCACAAGCAGCGCAGTGGGGCTTAAGTGTAATGTGAAGCATGAAGACTCCTGGATGAACCAGACCACTGATGCCACAAGTCCCTGGCTAACTGGTTGAGGTGTTGGTAACAGCAGCTGGAAATTTGTCTTTCTGCTTCATGATAGGTCCTTGTACTATTCCTCCATCATGGATTATACCTGGTTTTTTGGATCCTACACGCTCCTGGTAGTTAATGTCTTGCCAGCTCCCTGTTTTGAGCTGCTCTTGAGCCTTTGCACAGGAATTTCCACTGAGGATGCAACTGGCCTAAGAACTGATCAACTACATGGCAAGACTGCTTGGCTCATCTCCAGTGCATGCGTCCGTACTGGAATAACTCCTTTGTTCTAAAGATCCTTATACAGGAGATAGGAGTGTGATGGCCCATTTTGCAGGTGAGGCCACTTGCAAGGGGACATGTGGTAAGTCAGCATCTGAGCCAAAAATCACAACAGATGTAGAACCTGCCAATCTTCTTCCAAGCAAGAAAGGGAGACAAAAAGAAGTCTCTGTCCTAGGCTTGTTATCTACACTCCTTTTCTTCCAAATGCTATGTGTTTTGCTTCTTTGTAGAGATACCCCGCCCACAGCACTGGTAAAGGACAACCCTTCCCCATCTCATTAATGGTCTGGTTAAAAACCATGATCTAGATCTGCAAGTTGAAAGGTTAATTAGAAAGAACAAGATAACGCAACCTTCAGATGGTTGCAGAACAGCAGCAGAGAGAAGCAGCACTGGAGAACTCAAGTGCTTTAACAGAGCAGAGAAAGACCTCCAAGCCTGCATGGCCTTGAAGCAAGAAGGTCCCATGCTGTACCTTGTTCTCAGTTTGCATACCACATTCAGTGGAAGAACGAGTTCCCACAAGTTCAGCATTTGTCCATACATCCTACGTTCCAGCCTTATTCACACGCCCTCAACTGTATTAACCTTCCAGAGAGGTTAATCTCCACTCCATTGACACAAGCAGATGGGAAACCCCACAGGTCAGGAATTTGCCACTTAACTTTGAACAGAAGAGCCGAGGTCAGAGAAACATAAAGCCTTATCACACATGCTGGATGCTGCACAGCAGAAACTGTGGAAGAGTCACATGCCAAAAAGCATCTTTCAGAGTGACAGAGCACAAGCAAGCATACAGGCACAAACAGGCATGTCATGGGCTACTTCCCAAAGCCTAATGGGTTTGCCATGAACCAACAACTTCAAAACTGTCTCCTTTATCTTCTCTGTCTTTCCTATGTATATACTGCCCAACTCCTTCCTAGCCAAGGCTTCAGAGTTGGATTCAAGTACAGTGCTACGGTATAGAGACAAGAAGCCTGGACAAAATCATCATGCTTTCAAAAGATCAGTGACTTTATCATCATACAGTAATTGCACATCAGCTGCTTCCAGCTCTTTACATGTTGGTAAGTTTTCCTGGACTGGAAAACACTCCAGACATTTTTGAATACCTGAGCTGGACACTCATCACAGCCTTCATCAATCAGACTAAACAGAATACTCACACCTGCTTTGTCAGAAGTGATTTACAGCATTTTATTTTGTATCCAGATACTGAGCTTGTAAAGCCTGCACAGGTTTTAGATGTAGAGGTTGAAGGACCAAGCTAAACTCCTAACACAGAGGCAGAAAGGATAATTCTTAACAGTTTGCAGCCTTACTGATGGTTAGAATTCAGATTTGTGAGGAGTGATGCCAGTACAGCTGATTCTACAAAGACACAATGATCTGGAGAAGAGTTCATTTTGCCCTCTAAAAGCATGTGAAAAAGACAACTTCTCTATTCATATGGACAGAGATTCACTCTCCTGATCATCTTGGCCTGGCTACAAGCAAATTAGGCTGGAGAAATCTTTGCTGAAGAGATAACACAAGTGTCCAAATGCACTGATAGGATGTGGAACTTATGTGGAAACTCCTCATTCACCTCTATCAGATAAATCATTGCTTGAGCTCCTACCTTCCCCAGTCCCTGCAGAGGCGGATTCCTGCTCCTGTACCTCCCTCTCTGTCTGAGTCTCGGCAAGCTGAGGTGCCAAGGTCTGGGTACCCTGCGAAGTCACAGAGGTGGGGGGGTTTCGGGGTTGCAGGCCTATGGCATTCATCAGGCCCATGTCCCTGTCTGTCCTCCATGTGGCTCTGCTGGTTCTGAAAAGAGAGAAAAACAAATAAGACCAGGAGCATTGGAGGCAACATGCGCCAGCAAGATTGAAGCGTCCACCTGAGCCTCTTCTTGCCTCCACTCCAACCAGGCACCTGCTAGCCACTATGCAGATGGGGCTGGAGGGAATTGTGACCTGCTCTTATTTACACACACACACACACACACACCCTTCTCCAGCCTCAGCTGGCTGGTCTCTTGAGTTTTAAGCCAACAGAGTCTTATAGTCCACTCACCCTTCCACAGAAGCGGCGTGTCTGACAGGCATAGATAGATATCCCTGCAGCATCACTAAGCCTGCAGAACAACTCTGTCTCGGGGTCACTGAGTTGAGTAGGCAGCACGACATGCAGCACAGGACCATGAACACATACACGACCTCCTTCTGCACGTTGGCAGGGAGGTTTTAACTCCCAAGGACGCAGCCTGTACCCCTTCCCTCCTCTAGACCTTCTAGTTTGTCAGCATCACACATGAATGCAGTCTAGCAGGCATTTCTGCCCATTCCAGTTGGACAAGAGAAATTCTTTGTTCTCAAAAGCAAACAACAGGAACCACCTCAAGGCTCATTAGCTTCTCAGAATTGAACAGTTAAAGTGTACAACTCTACGAGATCTGAATCTTGACAATGCTTGGATGCTCTTTCCAAAACTGACCTCTGGCTGTTAAGTGCTGGGAATGGTAAAGAGATTCTAGGAAAGATTGCCTCATTCACAACCTTTTTTCATAAGGTTTTGAAACTTGCCACATTTTTCTTGCTCTCTCTTTGAGCTAGTTCATTCTTGAGCACTATTTCTGTCTTCAAGCTGCTCCTAAGCCCATCATGCAAGACTGATATGTGCCGTTAAAAAACGTGCATAATGGCAATATCCACTCACATGGCCGAGTAAAGAATCTTTACTGCTTATTTTTCACCTTCAATCAGACCAAGGCTGTAGGGCAGCACAGACATTGCCCTGTACACCAGCTCATAACTTCCTTGGGATCCTGGAGCTCACAGTTCAGAAACAAGACCGTCACCCTCTTGCTGAGAACAGCTGGCTTACAGAGAAGTATTTATCACTGGGGCAAGAAGCAAGGGACTGCAGCATCACCCTCATGTTTAGAATAATGTGTGCATCACCAGACAGACTGGATGAAGCAGCCAATAGGGCTGTCAAGGGATTTAGGTTTATTTTTAGTTTATTGCTGAGAAACAACTGTCCCATAACCAGAAACTAAAGGGATGAAAATCAGTCACCAGGACCTCCTAATGGATTTGCACTCATCTCTGTGAAACCCCCCGTTCTTCAGTTATCCTCCAAAGGTCATTTACTTTGCGTGGTGTTTTTGATGCATCAAGCCCCACATGTTCCTCCCACAGCTTGACCACAGATGTTACTGAGGCCATGGATGACACATGTACTTCACTACCACTGGCGGCACTTTTGGGCACTGAATGTCTTTTGCTGGAAGCAGGCCAGGTGACCCAACTAGGCAGTGTCAAAGGGGGGAAAAACTGCATATTGAAAGCTGCCAGTGCTAAGGGAACAAAGAAGAATAATCGGTGCTGCCAGATGTAACAAAAGCAGCAGAAAGGGTCAGGTCTCTCTAACCCACACCAGGAAACTCACCCAGGCCGCTCAGTGCTCCTGCTGCTGGAATGCACAGCGAAGACATTCTCATTCAGCTGGTCCCAGTGGTACTCAACTCCAGAGTTTAAGGCCCTTGAAACACCAAAGAAGGAAAAAATATTAGCATGACAGACACTATTCCAGCCAGCACACATTACATCCCCACAACACGAAGGACTGTGTTGATTCCTGCCCTACAGAAACTGCAGATCTAGCTCAGTTCATGTTTTTGTTAAAAGGGATCATCACCATAAACAGCCTTGCAAACATGGAGTGCTGCATTACTCAGATTGCTCTGGAATATTCCATTCATTTCAATTCAATATTAGCACTGAGGCACAGCAACAGGAGCAGAGAGATTTTCAGGAAATGAAGACATACAACTGTGTGTATAAAATCAGGTTACCCTAACTCCAAGTGACTAAACAAAGAATTGGAATGGGAAGGCCAATTCTGTCTGTGGTGCCTGCCAGCATTTCCTGCACTAGGTAATGCTAAGTAAAACACTGCTCTTATTTGACATTTAGTTTCCTCGCAAATGGTTCTTATTCTACCTATAAATTAATCTTTATACAGCCCTCTCACTGACAGTCACTGTGGAGCAAGGGCACATGCAGAGGATATTTTAATAAGTTTCCACAAAAGAGTTTGTACTGGATCAACTACATGTGTGTCCAAAAAGTCCAAAACTTGAATTTTACAGCTAATGCTACTAAGTTTAACAGAACAGCCAATGCTCTGGCAACCTTTCACAGCGCATTTCCCAAAAAGATACACAAAGCCAGGGCTGGCTAAGCACTTCACAGGAACAGGCAAGGTTAACAATGTAAAGCTGATCACATCATTGCTGAAGACTGCAGGCAATCACAGAAACTAAACCACCATAACCATAATGCTGTAAGTGCGTCTCCCACTGTTTCTAAGGCCCAACAGCTCTTAGCCTGGAATAGGATAAGAGTGAATCCAGCTTACTCTGTGCTATACAGAAATGTCAGAGGACAGGCACACACTGTGCACTCCAAGGCAGTATGGAGATCTCCCACCTACTGCTGTGTCCCACCTCCAGAAGCACTATGGGCTGCATGACCATGGAAGAGGTTTTCTGTACAGTGTTTTACCACACCATGCTGACACACCAGCTCCCTGCGAGCTGGCCTGGGGGTTTCGCAATGGTGCTGTGTACCACCACGTGGCTCAGCAGAACTGGCAAGAACCCCAGCTTAGAGGATGCTGCAGGTCAGACATGCTGCAATGGGAGAGCTGTGTGTGCTGGAGGCCTGGGGCTAGGCTGCTGGGGTGGTAGCACCCCAGGTCAGGACCAAGGGCAAAAGCTGGAGAAAATTAGGTCAACAAAACCATGCATGGAGTCTACAGGAAGTAATCAGTCATCGCTTTTTTTTTTTCTTTCTTTCTTTCTTTTTTTTTTTTTTTTTTGTGCTGAGCTAGCCTTATGCTGCATTATACCCATGAAAGCAGCTGCCAGGGAGATGCTGATTTACAAAGGCTTCAGAGTTTACTGACAGATGGTAACCTGTCGCTAAAACCATGCCAGTCCCTCTGGCTGCTCCATCCCCTGCCTAATATGCTGAGACTTAGCTGTCACACTTTGCTGTCTGCAAAGTAGCACACTCCCTAGGCAAGCAAGACTTTCTGACCTGGTAGTCAAAATTTCCATTAAAAGTCTACTTTGCTTGGTATCTGCAGCTGTTACACAACAGAGCTAATCTGACCCATGCTCTTCTCCCCCTCCTTCCACACTTCTTCATGTTCTGTGAAGTACAGGCATGATCCCCACAGCCACCTATGCAAATGGTATTCCAGTCTCTCTGCAGGGCCAAAAAAGTGGCTCAGAATAAACACCTGGCACTCCCTACTGCAGCAGCGAGCATCCTCACAGCAACCTTTCAGCAGACTCTTCCCTTGACCAGCTAACCAACTTACTCTCTCCCAACTCCACCTCTTGCAAAAGATTTCAAGTGACAAAGTCCTCAGCATGATCTTTGTTCTCTTTTGCATGCATCTACATCTGTCTGACCTGGAACCCACATCTGCCGCTCCACAGCCCTAAGACCAACATCTGGCTTGCTCCCCATTAGGCCTTCCAGCCTTTGGATGATTGATTGAGGCTACAGAAGAGAGGTTTCAGACTGCATCAAGGTACAGTGAGGAAAGCAAATATCTGAACTTAACAGAGGGAACTGGTTGGGCACTATCTTTTATACGAAGATCATCCCTTCTTAATAAGCAAAAATTTCATCAAAGAAATGCTGCTATCGTACGGGTTAAGTGCCAGTTTTAAGACCATGCCTGCATTAGAAACTCGATCACATAATCGCACCTTAAACCACCTTAACTACACAACAAGATGTATGTGACAGCCACAATTACCTTGGTTATATCAGATTTTCAATTAAGCTTAAAGATTTGCACTGGTTTAACCACACCCTATTTAAAACAGTGCAATCTCCCTTCCCAGAAAGCCTAAAGGTTTTTTAACTCCCATTGCAAAATACTGCTTGAATTTTGTAAATTAGCAAGCCTTTCACAGTACGTTTCCCAGGAGATTTGCAAATCAAGGCCTGACTATTCATTTCACAGAAGCAGAGCTTACACTGGAGAAATGAATATTTTTCAGGTAATGTAAGCATTTAACTTTTGCTCCATCAAACTCTAGACATGGAAATGCTGGAAGCACTTTACAGTTTCCATGCATAAGGTAGAAGCTCTTTGTAGCATGTTGCCACTTGGATGTGGATGCAGTAAGGAGGACATTTGTTGCCCAGGGCTTCAGGGTGAAAAATTGCAATTCTCCACACTGCGTCGGTCATGGACAGTGAAGTCCACTTAGTCAAGTTCTTATTTTCTTCCTTTTTATGGCTGCCACTAAGCTCTCTAAGCCCTCCCTGGAAATTTCCATTAGCTTTGTTAAATGCAGAGTTGCTCACAGCCTGGCTTTCCCAGCACAGATCTGTTCTGAGACGGACTTTTCCTTCACGCCTGTGTCCAGCTCACATTATTAATGAGCTTGGAGAAGATGAAGGGCACAGACTTGCATGCTTTGCTGAAAGTTGAATAAGGATTTGGAGTAGAGCCTGTTAAATACCAAGAGCCACCAACTTAGGCAGCACAGCCTCTCCCTCTGCATGGAGGTATTACCTACACAGCTCAGGTATGTCCCCGTGAAGAAACAAGGACCAAGCACTAGGAATTAATGACAAAATTATTCACAGGTGACAAGAAAGCTGAAATATGATTTACTGCATTGGCTTAACCAGTATTTGAAAAGTAAACCAACAAAGCACAGGTCAGCACAACTGACTTAGACATGTGGGTAACCCCCCAGCTGGCATATCCAAAATTGGGAGTTGAAGAGGAAGAGGGATTTGGACAAAAGTTCCCCAACTCTACCTTAACTATACAGCTCAGGAGCAAGATGGCAAGACAAAAAACCCCATAATTTGTAAGTAGGGTATGCATGTCCAGGAAGGCATAAATAACACTGTCTTTTCACTTTTAAACTATCCCCAGTACTGAAGAAGGTGGCAGCAATGGGCAAATGCACCGCTCTCCTTCAAATCCTGCCACATGGAAAGACCCAACAGTAGCACACTTGTCTGCTACAGCATTGAATTAAATTTTGATTAAGGCATTGCTGCCTGCAATCTCATCTAAAAATATCAGCACAACCCCATTACTGGAATGAAGATTGTGGCAAGCCCAACATGGAGAAGACTAGCTGAAAAGTAATGCCATGCAGCACGCAGCTAGGTGAATATCCAATTTTCATGCTGCCAAGGTTCACTTTCTCCACAAAAGAAATTACTCTTTAAAGCTGATTTCTCAAATATACTGTCCATTCAAGATCACTAAGAGCAAGCATACAAAACCAGGTTAGTTCACAAAGGATTTGAATTCCCCAAGATGTGCTTTCTTCCCTTTGTGTAAACTTGTCATTCTTAAACCCTTCAAACTGTATCAAGAAAATATAGAGTGAGCTACAGAGAGCAAGGTGACACTATGCTAAGGAACAGAAATCCATTGTCCTGGTTTGGGAAGGAAGCAGCAGCACATGGTATCTCACGCAATGCAATGCTCGGCCGGATTCCAGATGCGTCCCTGTCAGCAGCTCATTATCTCTTCTACCAGCGTGTGATGATCAGCACAGCAAGCCCACCCCTGGCTCCCATGATTAGCTAGGCAATGGTATTGTCAGTACAAGGCAAAGTTTGGCACTCCCAGCAGCTGCCTGGATAGGAAAACAATCATTTCTAACACCCTACTTCATAAATATTTAGCTTTCTGTGCAGGCGATGAACCACGTGCAGAGACAAGAGTGAAAATTGGCTGCAGTGCAAACTGTATGGAACCAGCAAATGGGATTCCTGGAGTAGCTCTGCTGGGCAGTAATTCCCTTTGACCAAGGAAGAGGTAGCAGCTTCACTGGCACTGGCCTATTTCAGAGCACACCCCTGGAGTACAGTATGACTAGCCAGGGGAAGAGCATGAGACTAAGTATAGGAATTCCTAACAAGGTAAGTCGTACAGAACACAAGATCGGCAGTTTACAATTAGCAACCACACAGACATTTAAGTGACGTATGAAATTATCCTACTCATCACATTCAGATGAACAGTGGAAAGATGACCCTTCTCCACAACTAGCAGCAGGTGCATTTTTACTCCCTATACTGATACAGCCTACTAATTTTCCAGAATTCTGCAAGCTTCGCCTGCCGGAAACCAGCAGCCATGCAGAAACACATCCTGACACCTACTTGAATTGCCAAAAGGTGCTGCAGAAGCAGGACAGCAAGCAGCTTGGTGCAGCTGGTAGCCGTGTGCCTGCTTCAGGGAGGATGCCAACTCAACTCAGAACACTATGCAAGATGACTGGCCCCATTTATTTAATTGTGCAGCCCTGCCAGCTAGGTTAAATACTGGGATTTTTGAAGAGGGTCTATTCAAACTCACACTATTTAAATGAGGTCAGCCTTATAAATGTGGAGGCACCAGTAGCTAATAACACTTTCCTGTCTCAACAATGTATTCACGCACAAGTTTTGTGCTGCCCACCACTGAGCAACTAAGGCTGG